CATTTTGATTACAGGAGCAAAAGTGTCCTGATAATCAATGCCCTCTTGTTGAGTGTTGCCTTTGGCAACAAGTCTTGCCTTGTGTCTCTCCAAAGAACCATCAGAGAGGAATTTATCCTTGTAGATCCATTTGTTGCTGATAGGTTTCACCCCTTTAGGTAAACTGACCACATCCCAGGTATGGTTTTTGAGTAAAGCTTGAATTTCAAGCTGCATTGCTGATAGCATCGTATTTGCACGTGTTTTCACTCTGATTTCCTGTCCATTTTGGCTCGAATTGATTGTTCCTTGGCCTATTTTACGCTAGGTTGTGTTGTTTTGTCGTATTTCAGGTCCTAGCAAGTAAAGAGGAGCAAAGGCGCAAGTTTCGGGTCATTTGGAGGTCAATTGGCGTGTCACAGAGTGAATTACGGGCAGCCCTTGCAGAATTACGGCCGTAATTTAGCAGGGCATGCCCGTAATTAATTGGCCGCGCATTCCCCCAGCAATTCTTCTCGGTGGTGAAATTACGGGCAAGACCCCCAGGAATTACGGCCGTAATTCCCAGATTACTGGCAGTAATTGGGAAATTACGGCCGTAACTTCTCCTCTGCCAGCTTAAGTGAAACGCGCGTTTTGGTGCAAATTACGGGCAGGAAGTGATTACGGCCGTAATTCTGCCCGTAATTCGCCCAGAGTCGGGTTTTTGAAGGCAGATTCGAGCCAAGGAGAGGGAATTCGATTTTCTGGGCAAAAACAGAGTTTTAGAGAGAGAAAGAGCGAAGAACAAACCCTAGGAGATTTGAGTGGAGTTTTCTCATCATTGAAGCCCAGATTGCGTCCCTAGGAGTGAAGATTGACATCCCAGAGCAGATTTTCCTCATCTTTATGAGTATGGCTACTCTGATTTCTGTTTTCCTTTCTCTCTCTATGGAGTAGAACCTTTCTCTCACTTGGGTATGAAGAACCCTAGTTCCTTGTGTTAGGGATTTGATTGTAATGACTTGGGATGATATTATTGTTAGATTTTAATCGAATGATGCATGTTTCATGAATTGAATTGGGTCTGATCAGCTTGTTTCAATTTCTGCTTCAACCTGAGATAGAGAGAATCTGATTAGGTTGTTAGAGCTTCTTCATTCGATAGTAGGAGATTGGCTATACGAGAGTTAGCCAGTTTACTGCTTTGTACTGGTGTTCTTAACGCCAGTAGTGGAGTTCTGTGTTCATAGCCTCAGCTTTCTATCCTGGTGAAGACTAGTCGTCTGCCGGGTAGTTAGACTGAGAGGGCTTGGTCAGCTTAAGAGATTCCAAGCTACTGTCGGATCTTCCGCAGTCTAATCAACAGTAAATCAACCCAGGGAATTGCAATTGAACCTAACTAAGGGGCTAGGGGGACTCAATCCCGAGTGACTCTTACCTGCTTTTGAAAACCGAACCATTTCCTGCTTTCTTACTGCTTTTGCTTTAAACAACACTCACTCGAATTAGTTTGCTAGATAATAGAGAATCACGGAGTAAGCAGTAGATCTAGACCCCGGGTTGATAATTAAACTTGCCTGTTACTGCATTCCCGGACTGCGATTACACTTGGTCGCAGTTTGGTGTTGTGTTTTGGCGTGTCAATTGCACTGTTCCAGATCTCATGTTGTGAAGCCTCTTGGTAAGATTGAGGTTCATGGTGACTTGAAATGTTGAGAAGAAATTTTTTGTGAGCAGGTGAAAGTTTGTCATATGACAGGAAGGAAGGGAAAGAATACCTTGAATCTTGGTTCTGTTGCAGACTTGAGTGACTGGTTCTGCTTGGACCCTGTGATAAATAACAATGGTAATGTTGGACAAGATGGGGAGGGGGTTTGGATTGTCTGTCTGAACGTCTTACTGGTTGGATTGGTGGGGAAGGTGGTGGTGATGGAACAAATGGAGAGGTGGGTGGAGAAGGCAGTGGGCTGGTAGGTGGGGAAGGGGTGTTATCTGGATGGGGTGTAGCAGTAGGAGAGTCTGCAGCTGGTGGAGGAGATGGAGGTGATAAACGAGAAGATGGTGAGGGATCATGAATGATGCTGTTGTTTGGATTTGGGGTTGGGAAGAGGAAATCTGGATGAGGACTAGAATCATGATCAGGGAGGAATTTTTGTATGGGAAATATGACTCATAGAAAATCACTTCTCTAGACAAGAAAACCTCATGGGAGGTGATGTCATACAGTTTGTAACCTTTAATCCCAGGGGCATAACCAATGAAGATAGCTTTTCTTGCCCTGGGTTGAAATTTGGTTCTGTGGCTGGCTAGTGTAGTGGCATAACACAGGCAGCCAAAACCTTTAGATCGGTTAAGTCTGGCTGTTTGTTGTGAAGCTTTTGAAAGGGAGTTTGGTTTGAGAGAATGGGAGTTGGAACACGATTAATTAGGTAGACTGAGTGTTTGACACAGTCACCCCAGAAAGCAGGAGGAAGGGATGCTTGGAACTGAAGGGCTCTAGCAACAGCAAGTATGTGCTGATGCTTCCTTTCTACTTTACTATTTTGCTGTGGTGTTTGGACATAGGACATTTCATGAACAATTCCTGTTTTGTGAAAGAAATCTTCCATTTGGAATTCCTTTCCCTGGTCACTTCTTATGATTTTGATTTTTGATTGGAATTGCCTTTCCATCTGATTGCAGAAGGCAATAAGTTTAGGTCTTGCCTCTGATTTAAGTTGCAAAAGAATGATCCATGTCATTCGAGTGTAATCATCAACAACAGTTAAGAAGTATTTGTATCCATCATAAGTTGGGACAGAGTTGGGACCCCAGATGTCTACATGAAGAAGTTCAAAAGGGAAAGAAGTTACAGACTGACTGGTAGGGAAAGGGAGACGTTTTTGCTTAGCAAAATGACAGACATCACAAGGTTGATCTCTTAGAGTAGCAATGGAGGTACAAAATTGATTGAGTATGGGAATTTTGGAATGGGAGACATGCCCTAATCGAAAATGCCATAGGTCAAAGGTGGAGGTGGAGGCAGCTGAGATCAACTTAGGAAAAAGGGAAGCTTCAAGGTAATAAAGGCCATTGCAGAGTTTAGCAGAACCAATCACTCTCGTCTGCTTCAGATCCTGTATAAGACAAGTGGTGGAGTGAAAGGTTAAACACAATGAGTTCTTAGAAGTTAATCTGCTCACAGAGATAAGGTTGAAGGTGAAGTTTGGAACAAACAAGGCATCATGTAAGTGCAAGTCATCACTGCAGATGGCAGTTCCTGAATGTGTAGCTTGAATTTGTTCACCAGTGGGAAGAGTGATGAAAATATTGTGTAATGGTTGAGGGTCATGGAGGTAAGCTAAGGAGCACACAATGTGATCAGAGGCTCCTGTGTCAACAATCCATTTGGGAGGGTATGTAGAAAAAGCATTCAATATGGGGGTTGGTGGATTTGGAGAAGAAGTTGTACCTGGTGTAGTCACATATGCAGCAGCAGAGAAAGAGGGTTGTGTCTTTGTGGAAGACATTAAGCTCATAAGTTTGTCATAATCTGACCTAGTGAGCTTTACTTCATCATTGCTTGATGGAGTGCTGAGAAGAGCAGCTGTTGGTCTTGGTCTGGGAGGAGCAGTTGATGAGGACCTAGGGACAAAATTAGCTGGATAACCATGCTTCTGAAAGCATTTGTCTTCTGAGTGACCTCTTTTTTTGCAATGGTTGCAGATAATAACAGTTCCAGATGTGGAGGCTTGAGGTCTGGACATGCCAGGTGGCCATCCATGCTTCTGAAAACAGATGTCCTCAGTGTGTCCCTCTCTTCTACAAAAGGTGCAGTATGGTGGTTTGCTGTTGGTAGAAGCCCTTCTGTTTCCTCCTTGAAAACCAAGAGCAGTGGATTCTGTCTGTGTGGATGCAACCATTTTACCAGTTTGTGTACCATAGATCTGCCTTTCATGCTGTAACATGCGTTGAAAGACCCTGTTGATTGTAGGTAGTTCTTCTCCAAATAGTACTTGAGCTCTAACAGTAGCATAATTGTCATTTAACCCACGCAAGAACTTAATCACATAACTGGTTTCATGATATTGCAGGACACGAGTCATGGCAGCACAGTCAAGGTGACTAGTGGGGTGCAAGTACATGGCAAAAGGGGTTGGTAGTTCTCTAACTCATCACGAAGAGTGATGACATAGCCATAGTACTCAGTAATGGTACGATTACCTTGATGCAGAGTAGAAAGGGCTTCTTCCAGTTCAGCAATCCGAATCAAATCACCAGATCCATACCTTGTTTGTAGACTAGACCATGCTTCAGCTGCTGTTTTACTTGAGAGAATGGTTTTGCGGATCTCTGAGGAAGAAGCTTGTTGTATCCAAGAAAGCACCATGACATTGTTACGAATCCAGGCGCCATGGCGTGGATCTGTAGCCTCTGGCTGTGGAATAGTACCATTGATGAAGCCAACTTTTTTTTTAGCAGCAAGTGCATTGAGCATCGCCCTACTCCAGTCATTATAGTTTGTGGCAGTAAGGGTTTCAGCGACAAGAAGAGATCCAGGCTGCTCGGAGCCATGGAGAAAGAAAGGGTCTGAGAGAGGGTCAAGAGGAATGGGGGCAGGCACATTTTGTTGCTCTGCCTGTTGTTGTTGAGCGGCTTGGTTGTCCGCCATTGAAAAGAAGAAGGGCGGCGGCTAGGGTTCTATCCCGGGCTCTGATACCATAACAACGAAGTGGTACAAGAGATTGAACCCTAAAACTTGAGCATTTCATTACAATCTCTGGCCTTTATAGGCAGAGCATTACAGGAAGAAGACAAGCAAGTTTGCTGTTTGTTTTGAAGCTTGGAAAGGAAACAAGACAGCCTTGTGGCAAAAGTAAACAACGACTGAAAGGGAAAGAAGAAACGGTGACGTTCCGAGGAGATGGCTTCTCCTTCAGCAGCACTGAAACGGCGGCGTTCCACTTAAGCTCCTTGTCTCGTGTCGAAACGTTGTCGTAGAGAATTCTGACCGTTGGAAATGAATTTTCCTTCTGTTAGTTGCACCTGCGTTGGCGGCCATGGCAGACAAATACGGCGCCGTGTTGACGGTATGGCTGGGGATGCAGCGGGTGCTTGTGGTGAGCGATCCAAAGGTGGTGAATGGTGAGCGATCCAAAGGTGGTGAAGGAATGCTTCACCACCCACGACAGGGCTCTCTCCTCCCGACCAAGAACAAGCACCGGCAAGTTCCTCCTCTTCGACAACGCAGGGTTCGGGGTCTCACCGTACGGAGCCTACTGGCGAACCATTCGAAAGCTCGCGGTGACTCATCTCGTCTCCCCGACGGCCTCCGAGCCACAGAGCATGTCCGGCAGTCGGAGGTTGATTCCTTGGTGAGCCACCTCTGTTCCGTCATCCGCAAAGGCAACGACGACGACGACGACCAAGCAGGCACGGTTGTGGCCATGAATGCCGTGTTTGAAAGTCTGACGCTGAACGTGACAACGAGAATAATGGCAGGCAGGAAATCGCACGTGTTCGACGACGACAACAGTAGTGACCAGGAGGACATCAATGAGGAGGCGGAGACCAAACGGATCGGACGGCTGATCAAAGAGTTCATGAAGTTGGCCGGCTTGCCTGTGATCTCGGACGTCATCCCACTCCTGAGCTGGACCCGTGGGTTGGCTGGGAGCGTGAAGGCTATGCGACGCGTTGCTGCCGATTTCGAGCCCATCTTGTCAAATTGGATATCCCAACACGAGGCGGTTTCTCTGCTGCTGCTGCTGATAATCGCCATCAGGATGTCATCCACGTTCTGTTATCCTCTATCAAAGGGGATTACTACGATGAGGTGTTTGGCCATATTCCCCGCGAGAAAGCCATCAATGGCACCATTATGGTAAAAATTACACATACATACACACATTACAACTCTTTTTCTAGTTATCTGAAATACTACTACTAAATGGAGGTGGCAAATAGATTGGATTCATAGATTGGATCAAATGGATTGGTGGATTATCCATGAATCTAAATGACATCCTCAATCTTGGACCAATGTGTAAATTTTGAAAAGTTTTTAGGTACTAAAATTTCATGATGAAAAATTTCAGATACCAAAACGTAATTTCCAATGATATTTTTCGTATAAAAATAAATTTTAGGTATCAAAATGTAAAATATAAAAATATAGATACTGAATCGTACTTTTTCATTTGGATCAAATGGATTGAATTAGTTGGATAGTTTTAATGGATTGGTGGATCGGATTGAGAATTGCCACCGAAGCTGGAGTTCTTGCCAGAGAGATTCCTTGTCTCGGCCGGAGCTGCACAAAAGGACCAGCAACACAAGCTGCAGCTTAAACCAGAATACCTGATTGGGAACAAAAACTTTGAGTACGCACCTTTTGGGAAAGGGAGAAGGGCTTGCCCAGGGGTTCCGATGGCCAACCAAGTGATACACCTTACTCTCGCCACGCTGCTTCAAGGCTTTCTTCTCACTGTGCCAGGCGATGATGGCCATGTCGACATGACGGAGCACTATACCCTTGCTCTGCAAAAGGCTACTCCTTTGCAAGTTCAGATTCTGCCACGCCTGCTCCCTCACCTCTATCCCAGCATGGAGTAACCTGGTCTGTTTACATATATACCTCGCCTGTCTGCATCATTTACGCACCAATATAATATATGTATCTCCTTCTTAATCCCTTCTCTACTTCATGATGTATTATCCAGTCTACTAAACTTGCTCAACCAACTCCTTTGAGGGCTAATGGTCTGTAATCACTTCACAACGTTTTACACACCATGTTATGAAAAACATGTATGTTTTTATATATAAATGACTACTCGAATCTTTATTAATGCATGGCTACTTTGTAACTTTGATTTCCAGAGGAATCGTATAGTAATTATGTATTTTTTAAAATCCCAATGGACCATTACTATAATTGCTATTTCATTAGTTATAATTTAACTAAACGTCCATTGACGTATTAATTTATAATTAGGTATTTTAGGTATTTTTAGAGCCTTACTGGACCACTAAAGAATTTAAATCGTATTAGTTGTAATTGTAGGTGGAGGTCGAGCGCGAGACCTGGATGAGATTCCTCTCCTTCCTCTCTTCCTGGAAATAGGAAACCCTAGAAAATTGCTTTCAGTTGAGAGGAACGATTCAGGTGTAAAAATGAGTAAAATGCAGAAGGTATGTTTGATCTGAAATGGACTATTAAAAGACAATTGGTCCTGTTTGAGGTATGTTTAAACCCAGCCCACAGAGAAAATCCAAACACCCTATGGGAATTAAGCCCTTGAATGAAAATTCCAAACCCAATGCAATTTCACTTCTTCTTCTTCCTCGACTCTGTTTCTGACGAAAACTCTCCTGTTATGAGCTTATCAATTGACTCTGCAAAACAAGTTAGAAACGAAAAACAAAAGCAAAAGTCAAATGAACACAGTCGGTTTTTACGTGGTATCCAGCGCAGGGCGAATAAGGATCCCTACGCTGACTAATCCACGGTTGCAGGATCTCTTCTTCAGATCTTCAACTTATCACTAGCTAATAGTCTTCTTCTTTGAAGTTCTTAGTTACAGATATGAGACAAGAACTCTCAGCCTGAAGCTGGTACTGGAGCCAATCCTAGCTAGGCTGTACTTTCTATCACCACAGAAAGTTCAACCCTCCTAGCTATCTAAAGCAATCACACCGATATGCTCTCTTTCTCACAAAAAGACTCTAGCCAATCTTGCTCTACTGCTTTTTGAATTCTGAAAAGGTGTTGATCAACTTCAACTCTGTATCTTCTTATACTCTTGCTTCCCAACGTCTCTTGGGTGGAATTTCCATTTTGTGCTTGTGAGCAGAGAAGGTAAGGTAGACTGATTTGATTCCTCGACGAGAGTATTGAGAAATTTTCCAAATCAATCTTTCTGGTCCATTATATTGCTTAATCAGAGCTAGTTAATTGCTTGAGCAGAGCCATTTATGAGCTTCCTTCAACATGCTCCCCCTAAGCTTGTCAATGGCTCTGTTACTGCTGCTTTCTACCTGCACACACTCAGCAAACAGATTGGTGCAGCCTGTCCTATAAACATGATTTAATTCCCATTCAAGATGCCACTTTATTCATTAAGAAAATTTAAAGACAATAAAGGGGGCAGCTAGAGCTGCTTTTTGCTCTAGGTAACATCAACCTAGATTCTAGACAACATCCTAAGTAGACTCAGAATACTTCTAGAAAGGATAGTGAGGAGGGGAGTCGTAATCAGAAATGTCAGCATTGTCTTTAGGCTCTTCAACAACTTCATCCTCTTCTCTGATTCTGGAAGTGCTGGCACAACCTCCATCCTTGAGTAATTTCAGCCTGGTGGATAGGGAAGCTAGAGAAGACAAGGGTATCTTGCGTTTCCCTTTCAACTCATTTGAATAGCCAGTAAGCTCTCGATCTATTACGACTTCTGCAGCAGACACCAACGCTTTGATTAAAGTAGCAGCTTCTCCCCCTGAGCCAATGAAAGGCTTGCGGGGACCAACACCGGCATCCAAGTGAGAAAGGACATGTTGAGCCTTCAGATCATCATGAACATTGCAGAGAGTGACCTTATCGCGAAGATCGATGCCCAGTTTGCGTAGCAGCTGAGTGATAAGAGGTGCCAGAGGCAACCACCCATCATTGTTTTCATCCCCATACTGGACAAGGTGACAGAAGACTAGTGGGCATAACTGATACCCTGTCCGGACCTGGCATGATGAAGGGTCCAGAGATCGGAGGTGTGAAGCAAAGTTGCACTCGAGAGGGATCTAGGAAGAAGAATCCTAGTGATGAAGAAGTGCAGAACCCGCAAATCATGAGGTAGGCGTCTAGCAGAGTGCAGATTTGGGAAATAAATACCAATGTCATGAGCAAGATCATCCAGAACGTGACATTAATCGAAATCATAGTCACGAAACTATCCATCATCACCTACCCTGAGTCCATCATGTGGCAACCCTAGTTCACTGGCCAGCAGATCTGTAGTGACTGTGATCTCAAAGTTGCCAACAGTCGTTTTGAAGGAGTAAAGATCAGGGTCAGATCCTCATTTGAGATTCACATAAAACAATCTCACAGCTTCTGGACAGTATGTGAATCGCTGATCCTCAAACAGGGATTCCTAGCCAAGATTCCGAACTAAGGCAGAGATATCCATATCATATTTCGAGAAGGAAGAAGGCAGAATGGTGAAGGAGGGATAGATAGCACGATCTCGGAAACGTCGTACATATCTAGAGAACTCCTTGTCCTTCCTGAATACCTTGATGGAAAAGGTAACAGCAGGGTGAAGCTGAGCGTTGTTAAGCACCATGATTGAGAAATTTTGGGAGGAGTTGAGCAATGTTTTGAGGGTGAGTGAGAGGAGAAGGTGATGAACCCTAGATTTATAGGTCAAAAGAGAAATGATAAGGTAAGTATTTATGACATAAAGAATCGTTGTGATGTACAGATAAAAGGAAGGAAGTATCAATTAAGAGAAGCAGGGACTGATTCACTAAAATTATGCAGATCCTGGATTGATAATAATCCTAATTCTCGCCTAATGAGAAGGAATTGATCAGTAGATAGTGGTTTAGTAAAGATATCAGCCCACTGGCGGTCAGTTCCTATAAAATCGAGATGAATCTTTTCATCTTGAACCAGATCTTGAATAAAATGATACCTAACTTCAATATGTTTTGTTCGAGAGTGTTGAACTGGATTTTTAACATATTAATAGTGCTAGTGTTATCACATAGAATTGGAAGAGACCCTATTGAGACCCCAAAGTCAATCAACTGATATTTCAGCCAGAGTACTTGAGTGCAGCAGAATCCAGCTGCAACGTACTCCGCTTCAGCAGTGGATAGTGCCACTGAATTCTGTTTTTTGGTGAACCAAGAAACGAGAGAAGAACCAAGAAAATGGCAAGCACCAGAAGTGCTTTTTCGATCTACTAAGCACCCAGCATAGTCTGCATCTGAGTAGCTAATCAGATCTAAACTCGAGTGTCTAGAGTATCATAAGCCTAAGTCTGGAGTCCCAGCTAAGTAACAAAAATTCGTTTGACTGCACATAAGTGACTTTCTTTAGGCAGACTTTGAAAACGAGCACAGACACACACACACACTGTACATTATGTCTGGTCGACTTGCTGTTAAGTAAAGCAAAGACCCTATCATTCCTCTATACAGCTTTTGATCTATGCTTTTACCTGATTCATCCTTTGAGAGTTTAGTTGTTGATCCCATAGGTGTAGGAGCAGACTTGAGGTTTCCAAGGTTAAGCCGTTTCAGCATGTTATTGAGATATTTACTTTGGTTTATAATGTTCTTGATTCAGTTTGTTTGACTTGTAGACCAAGAAAGAAATTGAGTTCTCCCATTAAGCTCATTTTGAAAGCCCCTTTCATGCAATTTTCAAAATCCTGACATAGCTTGGAACAGGAGGAACCAAAGATTATGTCATCGACATAAACTTGAACTAGTAGAGTATGACCATTTGAGTTTTTGATAAACAAGGTTTTGTCGACTCTTCCCCTATGAAATCCATCGTCTAGCAGAAACTGACTCAACTTGTCATACCAGGCTCTGGGAGCCTGTTTAAGCCCATAAAGAGCCTTGTTAAGTTTGTAAACATAGTCTGGATGTTCATGCTTTTCAAGCCAGGTGGTTGAGATACATAAACCTCTTTCTTTAGATCACCATTTAAGAAAGCACTTTTTATGTCCTTTTGATATAACTTAAAATCTTTAGCTGCAGCATAAGCACAAAGAAGTCTTATGGCTTCTAATCTAGCAACTGGTGCAAAAGTTTCATCGAAGTCTATCCCTTCTTCTTGATTATATCGCTGAGCTACAAGACGCTTTGTTTTTTATTATATGTCGATTTCATCAGTTTTATTCTTATATACCCACTTTGTTCCAATTATAGTTCTGTTTTCAGGTTTGGGAACTAGGTCCCGGACTCTAGTTCTTTCAAATTGATCATTTCATCCTGCATAGCTGTTGTCCAAAATTCATCTTCTAGAGCTTCATGAATGTTTTTTGGAAGAATTTTAGAGATAAATGCAGTATGTTCAGAGTAGCCTTTGGAACGAGTGACCATACCTTGATTTGGGTCACCTATGATTAGAGAGGGAGGATGTCTTCTTTGAATGTGAGGTGGAGCCTCCAATCCATCCTCCTTTCTGTTTGTCTCAGTTGATGCTGATTCTTTCTCTACAGGATAAGTCTCTTTGAAATGTTTCCCTCCAAGTCCAAAGTCATCATCATCCTCTATAACATCTGCAATCTTACTCACAGACTCATCAAAAATAACATTAATGGACTCCTCTACCTTGAGGGTCCTTTTATTGTATACTCTGAATGCCCTATTGTTTGATGAATACCCAAGGAAGATAGATTCATCAGACTTAGAGTCAAACTTTCCCAAGTTATCTTTGGTATTTAGGATAAAGCATTTGCACCCAAAAGGGTGAAAGTATCCCAGATTTGGTTTTCTGTTCTTCCAAAGTTCATAAGGGGTTTTGTTCAATTTTGAACGAATTAAAGCTCTATTGATTACATAACAGGCTGTGTTAATGGCTTCTGCCCAGAACTTCTTAGCAACTCCATAATCATTGAGCATAGTTCTACCAATCTCAATTAGGGTCCTATTCTTTCTTTCAACCACACCATTCTGTTGTGGTGTCCTAGGAGTGAGAAATTGTGAAGAATACCATTTTCATTACAGAATTCCTCAAATTTATCAGACTCAAATTCGCCACCATGATCACTTCGAATGTTTACAATCTTGGACTGTTTTTCATTTTCAACTTGTTTGACAAAGGTTTTAAACTTCAGCAAAGCCTCGTCTTTACTAGACAGAAAAAGAACCCAGGTGAACCTAGAGTAGTCATCAACTATGACAAAGGCATAATACTTACCTCCTAGACTCATGATATTACTGGTCCGAACAGATCTAGGTGTAACAGCTCAAGGGGTTGCTTGTGGATAACACTTGTTTAGTTTTGAAGGAAGTTCGAGTATGTTTTCCTTTGGCACAGGAGACACAGAAAAACTTTTTGTTACTATGAATCCTAGGGATCCCTTTTACAAGTTCTAAGCTAACCAGTTTTGACAAAATTCCCACACTTATGTGTCCTAGTCTCCGATGCCATTCCAGTTGTTCATCTTTGTCTACTAACATAAGACATGATTCAAAAAAGTTCTTTTTGTCATTTAGATCTATAATGAAGAGTTTACCCCTAGGTTTTCCAGTAAGTAAAACCTTCTTAGTGAGAATGTTTTCTACTATACACCCATTTGGTTCAAAAATAACTCGATTTTCATTTTTGCACAACTGACTTATAGATAATAGGTATGTT